ACGATGAAGCGGACGATGAAGCGGACGATGAAGCGGACGATGAAGCGGACGATGAAGCGGACGATGAAAAGGATGATGAAGTGAATGATGAATCGGATGCGTGCGAAGACACGAGCTGGCCATAGTTCTTCGGTTGGTTACGTCGCTGCATGAGGCGGGTGACACAATGTCACTCGTACTCGTATAAGAGCGGCTGTGATTTTGGCATGAGCTCGCTGCGCTCATAAAAAATGAATCCCGCCTGAACGTTATCCCTTCGTATTTATTTATCTGCAATCATCATTCAGGCCTATTGATCATCCTACTTCTCCAGAACTCACAATTTTTTACGATAAATATATAATTGAAATAAATATATTACTATATTCCTTTCAATGAGATGCATAGACAAACCACTACTGTGATTATCTGTCGAGAAAAGAATACTCCATAAATTCAGGAGACCCCACCAAATTAATCCATTAAAATGCAGTTAACAAATGTTGGAGACTGTTGAAATAGTCTTCCTGGTGTAGCAAAACATTTATATATGTCGAAAGTTTAGCCGAATTTGTTATGCAGTCTTTTTAATTAAGCAAAGGCAAGTGTTTACTTTGGAATACAAATATTTTACATATGTGATAATATCAGTTTACAAAATAAAAGGAAATTCTCTTTACGAAGAGAATTTATTATGTTGTCTGAGTAAAGATAGTTATATTTTGCATCATTTGTGATTAAATTTGTAGTGTCCACGTTCAACCCAATTGTGAACCACGGTTGCACTTAATATTGTACACGTTTTTGCAGCGACCAAAACAACAAATGAAAAAAACCCAACGTTAAATTTCATGTATTACCAAAGATGGCTTGAATTTGAAGCTTTGTTCCATGTCGACTTTCCCGCGATTGATCTACAAAAGCACATTTGCAGATAGGAAGGACGAAGTATATATAGTGACCTTACTACACCTGGGTAAAGGACACTACCGTTTATATTCCTACAGAGCGCCTGGCGGCAATAAGAATAGTGAAATCATTTAAGTAAGTACTCTGTTTACATGACAATGCTCACGTCACAAGCATGTGTGCGGGGCCGGAGGGAGGTAAGTGGCAGTGGGGCGGCGCATGCGGGGATGGCGATGGCCACGGCGGGGGCAAGCGGCGGGCTCGCTTAGCATGAGAAAAGCGGGCCACTCATTGTACCATATTAATACACAAACAAGCACTCGGCGCGACCTAACAAGGTTCGCTTTAATACTGTCTCCCACAAGAGGCCGGGCGGCGTGGGACCGCCGACGGTGGGGCGGGGCCCAGTGCTCCCAACTCGCACCTAACGGGCGCGCGCCCGAGTTTTCTCAAACGCGCGTCAACAAATAGAAAACAAATTGTAAACTATTTGAAATAAAAAAAACGAGAAACGTGTGCCGAACATAAAACGTGCAAACAATGTACAAGTTTTTATTGACTTTTTAAAAATATGTTTATTTTCAACGCGTACTTCCTTTGTGTGATACTTAATGGATAAACATCACCTAAAAGAATTGCTTCTCGTTTCTACATCGAGTGAGGGCAACATTAAAGCACATTTCATCATTCTTTCCGTATTCATCTGTGCATAATATCTTGAACAAAGGAAATAATTTTCCTTTACGGATTTGCTACGGACTATGCCAATTTTCCTTGAGCAACAGTTGCTCATGACTGCATTTGCACTTGAAATTTTACCCGTTTGAAATTTTTTAAAACAAAAATAAGTAAATATATTCTCAGAGTAGTTCCGAAAAGTTGCGCGTTTTGGGGGCAAGTACATTTTGGGGCCAAAGTCTTCATTTTTGGCCTGCACGTATTTGCGTCGTTTCGGCCCAGTGTGGGGAGGAGACGGCGGCGGCGGCGGCGGCGGCGGCGGCGGCGGCGAGGTCGCAGCTGCCCCGGGTGCTGCATGCGCCTCCGGCGGGGCGGCAGGTATTCAAGCCAATGG